TGGCAGTAAATCCACTTCTGAGTTCGAGTCTGAAACCGATCTTGATTCGATCGTGGTTCGTCCGAGTATGCTCTTGGTTGGATGACTCGTTGACTCGTCGAACACTTGGCTTGATCCCGCACGCGAATGGACGTATTCCGTTGCTTGCGTGCGATTAGTCAATCTCGTTGCCTCGTTGGTTTGTCGGTTTGTGCCGAGCTGAGCTAAGGGACCTATAAGCAATTTTATATGCCTACACTCTTCTCCTGAAGTTGCTCCATCACTTTGTTCAGGATGAACATACGGGTCCGATCTATCCAACTATTCCTCCTCCACGTTCGAGGGCTCTGAAGAGCTAGTGTGTTCAAGTGTGATCTTTGTGGTCGTTTTGGTCATTTGGCCGAATATTGTTTTGATTTAAAAAAGAAATCTCATTTGTCAAATGCTTCTAGTAGACCACATGCTTTTAAATATAATGTTTGTGGTAGGTTTGGACATCTTGCTAAATTTTATTTTGATATGCAAAAAGCTTCTAAGTTAAAATATGTTCCAAATAGACCATTGTTTAAGAATGTTTCTCATTTGTAAAATATTTCTAGAAGATAATCTTTATTTGCAAATGGTTCCCGTGCATGAGCATATGGTCCACAAAAACAAATGAGTCTATTTCATTACACAAATTACAATCGGAAGGGTCATTTGAGCAATTATTGTTATGACCGGGTTAGTACACCAAATGTGCCTAAGAGGGTTCATAACCCTAGGGCTTTGAGTTTTATTAATAGGGGTCATCTCCCTAAATCTCTTGGTACCAAGAATTCTTGGGTACCAAAACAAATTTGATTTTAAACCAATAATTTTAGTGTTTTTCTTTTTCCTTTTCTTGGTTTTGAAAAATGTGTTTTAAAAAAACTTTGAATATGAAAACAATTTTTTCTTTGATTAATTCTTTTGTTTTCACGATTATTGGTTTTGTGAACCAGTGTTTGGATGATATCAAGGCTAAAGGGGATGCATCATGGACTGAGCACTGTCAGGGAGGAATCACTCTCTTGAAGGCAGAATTAGCAACTTTCAGGGAGCTGCAGCGCACCAACTTAGATTCTGAAGTGGAGCCGGCTCTTTCCTTAGCGATAATCTCCAGAGCACATCACCCAGGGACCCTTCGCAAGGACTTGTCTGACAAAAAGGCCCGCATATCAGCTTTAAGGAAGCTGCACTCTGCAGCATATGCTAAAATCAAAAGTGTTGCTTCGGATATCCGCGGTATCGAAAAGACTATCGTTCGATTAGATTTATGTGTTTGTGCTTATGGATCATCTATTCGTGTCTTATAATGTATTCTATGAGTGGTTTGATCAAGTTATACAAAGAAAATTTTCTTCTTTGATCAAACATTATTTTTGGACTCAAATCTTAATTTATGACTTCATTTGAATGATTTTTTTTCACTTGAAAACTTTTTTCATGGTTCTCATGTTTTCCTCATTCATTTGTTTTCATAAATCTATTTTCTAGGCTAAAAACCCTCAAGTTGATGAGACCTGATGTTTAAATCTTGTTCCGTCCTTGGCTAAGGAATTTTGTATCTTTTTCATTTTGTTTGTCATCATTTTGTGTTTAGACTAACAACATTGAATGAAAATGATATCATTTTGCCTTTTATCGTTTCTTTTGTTGAAATCTGGCTTAAAACCATGGAGAATAATGCTAACACTATTGAAATTCTCTTTATCATTTATTAGAATAATTCCAGTAAATTACAATCGTCAGAGGTGTAGTGTTAACATGATGAAATATAAGGCAGAATTACACTATAAATAGGCAACCCCCAGCCTGATTTAGCTGGGGTTTAGGGGGCTACATGATTTACGGGAAGTATCTCTTAAGGAATTTTCCATTGATTGGCATCATGAGCCTATCTCCTTCTTGATTAATGAGGCGATAAGCTCCATTCGAATAGACTGATTCTATTACGAAGGGCCCTTCCCATTTAGGATTGAAATTTTGATAGGGGGAGTTATTCCCTATACTTGTTTTATACTCACTCATGCATATTGATAGGGGGAGCTTTTGCTCTCTTCATTCTTGATTGTTTTTCCCTTTTTGATGTTGTCAAAGAGGGAGAAATATTATGAGTATACATTTCCTTGTTTATATACCTGTGAATTATAATTTATATATTTATTTCCTTTCATGCATATATCTGCTTGTAAATTGTTTGTCATCATCAAAAAAGGGTAGATTGTTGACCTTCTTGTTTTGATGATGATTTACAAATAATTTACTTTTAATGTTGTTTGTCTAGTGTTTGTGTTTTTGTATCAATTGTAGACAAACATGTTGGAGGGTGGATGGAATTGCGCATTCACGATCATATCAAATGGAGGTTGGCAGAATAGTGGTTGAAGCCATGCTATTCAAGTTAAAGATCCAAGTTCAAGCTTCATCCGTAATGTGTACCAAGTCAAACTTATTTGAAGATCAAGATCAAGCTTGGGTAATATTAGTTTAGGTTTATATTATGTGTGTTGGTACTTTAAGCTCCTTTCTTGAAAATCCGTTCCTTAACCTTTTTGTTGTAGGCTTTGGAAATACGGGCTTGATACAATTCGACCTGTTGCTGAGCTTGAAGTCGTCTGTCGTCTAAGGATTCAAGTTCTTGCAGACGTCGTTGATGCTTTTCTTCTTCTGTTAGTCCAGTTGTGATAGCAACTCTCAGTGGGTAATATTAGTTTAGGTTTATATTATGTGTGTTGGTACTTTAAGCTCAATCATATATACACACACGTTATATTAGTTTCCCTGTATATATATAGTTATATATATATGTATACATAGTTATATATATATATATACACAATTTAGTTTTGGTATATATAGGTATATGTATACATACATGTTTTTCGTATACTAGAGAGAACGGTGTAGCTCTTGTAGAAGTCCTTACTGTCGTGCGGTAAGCCCACAGACATTCTCCAAGTCTTTTATCCCAATCGCGCCGACTTTTGGAAACAAATTTTTTGAGAAGCTTCACTATGGTTTTGTTAAAAGCTTCTGCAAGACCATTTGTTGGCGGATAATATGCTGTGGATGCAACACTTTGGATTCTGAATTTGTCACAAAATCTCTGGAATCCAAAGCTGACGAATTGTGTCCCGTTGTCGTGAACTATTCGCCTCGGGACTCCAAAACGGTAGATGACATGATGTTTGATGAACTTGATCATATTCGAAGTCTTGACTTCTTTCAGCGGGATAGCCTCCGCCCATTTAGAGAAATAGTCGGTTACGGCTAGAATAAACCGGTGTCCCTTGGTTGTTGGAGGGGAAATCGGTCCGACGATATCCATACCCCACATTTCGAATGGCCAGGTTGCTGATGTGGGGTGTACGTTCCCTGGCGCTTGGTGGATGAAGTCTCCATGAATTTGGCACGCGTGACAACGTTTAGCGTAGTCAACTGCGTCTGAAAACATCTTCGGCCAATAATAGCCGATTCGTCGGAGGCGATCTCCTAATTTAGCTCCAGGCTGATGAGCTCCGCACATTCCGTCGTGAGCTTCCTTGAGGGCCTCTTTCGCTTCCTTCCGAGAGAGGCATCGAAGCAAGATTCCATCATGTGATTTACGATACAGGACTTGAGAAACTACATCGTAATAGAATCAGAGAGCTTTTCGTTTAATTGCAGCCGCTTCCTTAGGATCATCAGGCAGAATTCTATATAGGGCATAGTCGATGTACGGAAATCGCCAATCCCTAGATTCGAACTCCATAAATGTTGTACAGACTTCTCCTGTCGGCGTCTCGTCTGAGTTTTCCTCTATAGGAATTTTGGAACAGTATAGCTTACGTCCTATAACCAGAATCGTCGTCTCGACCCCTGGGGGCAAGGCTAGCGAAGTTGCC